CTCCCGAGCCAGGAGTAATCGCCGAGCACAGAGTCAGGAGTAAGACCTGAGCAACACCGGTTGTGACCCAGAAACCAGAAAAGTGATGTCTGGAGTCTTCTCTCCCTCAGAACCAAGGACATCCCACCATGCTGGGTGGGGTTCTGGATGAGCATGGTCCCAGGGATGAGGTCCTGGGCTCCAGCCTGGCATCGCAACAAGTGCAAAAGCCAAGCTGGGGAGCTGGCCCCATGGTCTGGGCCATGGAGCCTGGGTCTGAGCAGCTCCACATCTTCAGGCCTGAGCTCTGGGAGTCCGGTCCAGTTGGCCGAATCTCTCCAGGAACATCCTCCAGTCTCCTGAGTGCTGCTGTTAAACCCCCTTCCCCACCTCTCTTTTCCCCCAAAGCAAACCCACAACGGGTTGGAAAGATAGCACAGGGGCTGGAGCAGTAACACAGTGGGTAGGGCATTTGCCTTGCATGTGGCCGACCTGGGTTCGATTCCCAGCATCCCATATAGTCCCCTGAGCACCACCAGGTTTAATTCCTGAGTGCAGAGCCAGGAGTAACCCCTGTGCATTGCTGAGTGTGACCCAAAAACCAAAAAAAAAAAAAAATAAGGAAAGAAAGAAAGAAGAAAGATAGCACAGGATTGAGGCACTTGTCTTGCACACAGCTGAACCTGGTTCAACCCCTGGCACCCCATATAAACTCCTGAACCCCACCAGGAGTGATTCATGATGCAGAGCCAGGAAGAAGCCCCAAGCACAGAATCAGGAGTGACCCTCAGCACTAACGAGTCTGGTCCCAAATCAACAAAAACATGGGGCTGGAAGGCTAGTACTGGGGTTAAGGTGCTTGCCTTGCATGCTGTCAACCAGGGTTTGACTTTATTTTATTTATTTATTTATTTATTTATTTTTTGGATCACAACTGGCGATGCTCAGGAGTTACTCCTGACCCTGCACTCAGGAATTACCCCTGGCAGTGTTTGGGGGACCCTATAGGATGCCAGGGATTGAACCCAGGTTGGACACATGCGAGACAAGTACACTATACTATCACTCCAGCCCCACATGCAGCCAACCAGAGTTTGATCCCAGCACCACACATGGTTCCCCACGCACACAAACAGGAGTGACCCCTGAATGCACAGCCCGGTGTAAGCAGGGGATAGCTAGGTAGGACTGAATAAACAAAACCACCCAAAACAAAGTAAAATCACAAAAAATGGTTCCCTGCCCTCCTAAACCCCTCAGCAAGAAACCACCACTAGCTTTCTGAGTACCATTCACAAGCTCCATTTTCATCCATCATTGTTTCCAGCCATTCACGGGAGCACTGTAGCACTGTCCTCCCGCTGTTCATTGATTTGCTCAAGCGGGCCCAGTAGCGTCTCCATTTCGAGACTTGTTACTATGTTTGGCATATCGAATACATCACACAGTAGCTTGCCAGGCTTTGCTGTGCGGGCGAGATACTCTCGGTAGCTTGCCAGGCTCTCCGAGAGGGGCGGAGGAATTGAACACGGGTCAGTCGCGTGCAAGGCAAATGTCCTACCTGCTGTGCTATTGCTCCAGCCCATTCACAGGAGAGAATTTGTTTTTCTCAGTTTTGTTTTTGGGGCACACCTGGTGGTGCTCAGGGCTTTCTACCTGGCTCTTTGCTCAAGGATCACTTCCAGCTGTGCTTGGGGGACCACATAGGAATGCTGGGGATCAAATGAGGGTTGGTCGCATGCAGAGCAAGTTCTTTACTCGCTGTATTATCTTTCCAGCCCCAAGAGCCTGCTTTTTCATGCAGTCACCAGAAATAGTCAAGACAGCGCTAGGGAGGAAGAACGTCAATGCGAAGGCTGGGTGCAGGATGCCAGTATTGGCGCAAACTGGGAATAAATCTGTATCTGCAAGGAGGTCTAGCCTGATGTACGCTGAAATTTCCGGGAGAGACAAGTCATTCATCAAATGTTTGCCTCTAGGCTGGAGCTATGGAACATCGGGGTGGGTGCTCGCCTTACACATGGCTGACCCAGGTTTGAGGTACCCATATGTGTACACCCCTGGGCACTGTTAGGAGAAATTTCTCAGTGCAAAGCCACGGTAACCCCTGAGCATCGCTGGGTGTAGCCTTGAAATTAAAAAAAAAAAAAGATTGCTTCTGAGGAGGGGGCCCAGAGACTGGGAAATGGGGAGAGGGAAGTTAGCTTCGCAGTCTCTGCCTTCCCCCTTCAGAAATGTATTTTGTACCTAGAGCTGGGGCTGCCTATTCAAATACTAGAGGAAGTGACAAATTAGAGAAAGTCTAAGACCAAGGGAGAGGGAGCAGGAAAGTGAGATTCAATTGCTTTCTCCAGTGTTTCCCCCAATTCATTGTCTCCCTCTCTCTCTCTCTCTCTCTCTCTCTCTCTCTCTCTCTCTCTCTCTCTCTCTCTTTGATTCATACCTGGTCTTTCTCAGGGGTTACTCCTGGCTCTGCACTCGGGAATTACTCCTGATGGTGTTCAGGGGACCATATAGGAATATAGGATACCTGGGATCGAATCTGGATTGGGCAAGTACAAAGCAAACACTCTCCCTGCTGTACTGTCTGTCACCCTGGCCCCTCAAACCTGTTTCTCTCTCACAGGATGCTTGTACTTGTCCCTGGATTTAGTGCTCACATAGAGACCAGGACCATCTCATCTCAAGATCCTTACTCTTGAGCCGGGAGGGGGTTTTGGGTCACACCCTGCATTGCTTAGGAGCAAGTCTTGGCTCTGTACTCGGAAGTGACCACCCCTGGCGGTGCTCTGGGAACCATATGCAGTGCCTAGGATTCAAACCGGGATGACCTCATGCAAAACAAGGGCTGCAAGCCCTGTACTAGCTCTGGCCCTTTCTCCGAATCCAGCACTGGACCGTGGCACAGCTGAACAGCTGGACTACATTTCCCAGTCGCCCTTGCCAATGGGTGTGGCCACGTGACTCAGTCCTGGCCCACGGAGATCGGAGACCGTGGTGCACTCTGGGTCGTGGCCTTTGAGGGGACCACCTCCTTTCCCACTTCTCCCAACTCATCCAGGGCGGTGCTGGCGAGTTCCCTGGGATATCGCGAGGACAGTCCTAGGAGGGGGGTTGGCAAGATGGACCGCAAACTCCTAATCTTTAGAGGCGAGGGCAATGGGTGATATCATTGACCTCAGAGAGAATTACCTGGATGCCAGGGGCTGGTTCACACAATCGCAGGGCCCTGCCTGGAGTGACTCACTCTGCGGCGTGGTCCGGACCATGCATTTCCACGCAGTCCTTAGGGCGGTTGCCGGGCTGAACCAAACCGGAACCCGGGCTCGGAACCACCGGTCAGACTAGTTTCTCCCACCTCTGTTTGGTCTGATCTACAGTGCCTCTTCGCCTGTAGCATCCCTCTGCAGCCGGTGGGAGTGGGAGGACACTCTCCTGGTGGTGTGCCCCAGGTCAAGGTCCTGTTTGTTTCTGGGCCACACCCGGCGGTGCTCAGGGGTCACTCCTGGAGGGGCTCTGGGGATGGAGCCCAGTTCGGCCAGCAAACCACTCACTGTGCTCTGGGATTCTGGTATTCGTTGTTTTGGGGGATGCACTTGGAGCTGGTGCTGGGGAGGAACCCGGGGGTCCCCCATGCAGCCTCTGAGCTTAGCCCTTCGAGCCTCCTCCCCACCTCGCTGTCCCCTCCAAGCGCCCCTTGGCTGGCAGCCCCCCACCCCACTCTCAACCCGTGGCTGGGCTCCCCACCCGCACCAGCAGGGACGAGGGAACCAGAATCTAGCTGGGTGGCAACAAGAGTGGGAAGAGCCGGCTGAAGCCAGAAGCAGCCGTGCTCCGGGTGCAGTGGAGAAGAGAGGGGGTGTGTAGGCGTGGGCGGTCAGCGCGGTCTCCCCAACTTTGGTGCTTTCCAGCTCCCTTACTGCCCTGTCCTCCAGACTTCGTGGCCAAGCCTCAGGGTTCAGGGGGGTTTGGTCCGCAGAGATTCCCCATCTGCAAGGGCAGCAGCTACAGGAGACGGAGATGGTGATGGAGGCAGAGGGGCGACTGCACCGCGTTTGGTCCCCGAGACGCCCCCAGCGCCTCCGCAGTCATGTGCTTGGGCTGTGGGGAGGACCACGGCTGGGGGGTGCTCCCGACTGTGTTTGAACAGCGAGCAGCTGTCTCGGGAGTGGGTCCCGCGGCTCGCCTCTCCCTTCTGGGAGTGTGTGCGTGGTAGACAGCACCCTCAATCCTTGGGTAACTGGCATCTGTGAAACCATTCGTGCTCCAAGCTTGTTTCTTTCCTGTGCCTGCGGCTGGCGAGATTTCAGTCCTGTCCAAATTTTTTTTTGTGGGGGGCGGGGGGATTCGGGGGCACACCTGGCGATGCAATGCCGCAATCAAATCCTAGTCTGCCACGTGCAAGCCCTACCGGCTGTCCTAGCATTGCCGGTTCTTCTCCACGTCTCAGGATTCGGGGCTACTTTCCAACCTCGCCGTGGCGGCTTTACTCAGGCCTAGCAATTAGCCTACAAGCCCCGGGCCAGGCCTTGTCCCCTACAGTACCCCCATTCTTGGGGTGGGGGGGTGACCTCAGTGAGGAGAGGTGGGTAGGCAGGGACCTTTCTGCTTCATTACACTCCTACTCAGTCCAGGCTGGGGACCTATGCAAGGGGGATTTCTTGCCCCTCTCTCCCCCCGCCATCCACAGCAGCAGGCTGCTGCTTCCCACATCCCACGCTCGGGCTCATGGGGATCCCCGTGCCCAAGCTGACCCCCAAAGCCCAGCTCTAAGCCTTTGACGCTGTACACAAGAGCCACAAGGGCTGTGCCTGCGGCTCTCACCTTGCTCAGAACACCCTTGACACCAAGTCAACTCATTTGGTAATGGTAACGGGAACACCCAGGAACTGAGGTTCCACCTGGATTCTCTCCTCACCCCCAGCCCTAACCTGGCTGAAACCTCGGGGTGTGGCCTCCCCCCTGCCCCTCATTTCGAGATTGCCTGTCTCTGAGGGTCCTCTACAAACACCACACACACAAAACAAGAAAATGTTTTAATTGTGAAACTAAGGGAGGGCGGGGCGGCCCCAGGGGGCGGAGCCTGATTCTCCAGCTGTGGCTCCGCCCAGGGCGGACCCCCCAGGGCTGGGGCATCAGTCCCCGGGTGGGGGTGGTGCTCCCCCCGAGTGTTACAAAATGACAATATAAATAGACGTCTAGAAAAGAGGAGGCGGTCCGGGTGCAGTAGTCGTTTTCTGCAGAGGCTGGGGGTGGGGTGGGGTGGGGGTATCCCAACATGTCTCCCCAGCCAGCTACAGAAAAGGGGGTGCGGGGCTGAGGAAAAGGCCACTCTTCAGACATTCATGATTGACCCCCACCATGGCTCAGGGGGAGAGGGGGCTGTACGGCAGGCAGGGTCTCTGACACCGCGTGCAGCCTGGAGAACCGCCCGAGACAGCGCGCACCACGTGCGGGCGAGAGTGCGCACGCGGAAACGGGCGTGCGTGCTCACATGCGAGTCTGAGCACTGGCGCGGGGCCACCACCACACACACGCCTTTCTTTTGTAGTGTTTGTGCACCCCTCAAAACAGCAGCCCCCGCTGCATATTTCCAGTGATGGGGGTGGGGGGACACCTGCCTTTGCGAAGACAGGAAAGCAGGGGTCCAGCCTGGCCCGAGGCCACACGGGCTCCGGGAGCCACGCTTGCTCCCGAGTCCCTGTGTGCTTCCAAGATCCAAACCCGAGTTCAGTAGTAGGGTGCCGCACACCCTCCACCCCCTGCCTGGGGGCGGTGTCACACTGGGTGTCCCTGCATGGCCGGGGCTCTTTGGCTGCGGGCAGGGCACCGGCTCATCGCGTGCGGTTCTGGCGCATGAGGGGCACGATGCTGGCAGGCGGGCCCGCCTTGGCCAGGAACGGGTGCTTGAGCAGCTCGGCCGCGGTGGCCCGTTGAGCTGGGTCGCGAACCAGCAGGCGATCCAGGAAGCCCTTCAGCGACGGTGACACCTGTGGACAAAGGGTGTGAGGCTGCCTGGTCCCTGCACCGTGGCCAGGGGCCAGGGGACTCGGCCAGCTCACCCCACTCCGCGCCACCCGGCAATACCACCCACCCCCGTGGGGTGTCTCACCTTGTGCAGGTTCTTCAGCCGTGGGGGCAGGTTGTCCCGAATCATCTTCATGGCTTTGAGGGGTGGCTCGTTGAAGTAAGGGGGCTCCCCGTCCACCATCTCAATCACCATCACCCCCAGAGACCAGATATCCACCTGGTGGGGGAAGGGCGGATGAGAAGTGCGGCCCGGCCCAGGGAGGAATCCTCTGCTTGATGCTCACTCTGCACCCTGACTCCTCTCCCGGGGCAGCCTCTGTAGGGTTCCTGCCCCTCCCACACACACACCTCGGCCCCTGGTGGGTATTCTCTGGGGTCCCTCCCTGCCTTAGACTACCCTGCGCTCAGGGCTGGCCCATAAGTCTGTTGCCCAACAATGCACCTGGGACACGAGGTAAGCGTAAGACGCGGGGTCCTCTCTGCTCGCAGGGGCGTGGCCTGCAGCCTGCACCTCATACCTGCTCTATCCAAGATGCAGAACTTCCTGCTCTGCCAACTTTCCCACAGGGCCTGTTATACCACGATGTCCTGTAGTCCCTCAGAACTTCCCTGTAGCCTCCCCTGCGGTGGGACCTCACCCTTCCTCACTGAGGCTCTCCGAGATGCTTCCCTGGGCCCCTTCCTTGGCCAAGTCCTGCTGCCAGGCTGTGGAGGGGCCTCGGGAACACGTATCCCCACATAGAGGTAGCAGGGGTGGGTGGGGCGTGTGGCCACCAGGCCCCCACTGCGCCTCTGCGGTGCAAAGCTGGCACACAGAGCCCTTCTCAAATGCTGTCTGCAGCCTGCCAGCGTGGCCTCTGCTCCAGCAATGGCCACTGCTGTTGGCATTCTGTGTTGCGCTGAGCACTGGCCCGGCTGTGATCCAGCAAGCAATGATGACCGACTGCAGAATGACCCATACCCACTCCCCGTCTCTCAACGCCGCCCTGGTCCTGTTCCCCTCCTGGGATCCCTGAGCTCCCTCCACTCAGACTGCTGATGAAGGGGCACTCGGCCGCCGGGCCCCGACTCACCTCTGGCCCATAGGGCAGGCGGGAGATGAGTTCTGGGGCCATCCAGTAGGGCGTGCCAACCAGGGACTTCCTGCGGGGCACCTCCTTGCTCACCTGGGCGCAGAATCCAAAGTCCGACAGCTTCACCTGGGATAGGGCGCAGGGTCAAAGGGGCTGTGGCCAGGAAAGTGCTGGGTAGACAGCGGGTAGCCCCCTGGATACTAGGCCAGTTACAGGGGCCTCAGACAAGTCCACTCCCCAAGAATACTGCTCAGGAGCCACCTGCAAGGGATCCGGGGCCAAAGGCACCCCGTGTGCCCAGAAGAATCACAGCCCAGAGGACAGGTGAGGGGACACAGCCGCAGCCCTCAGCCACCAGATCCAAACATCACACATTTGAGGACTGCGGTCTTTTCCAGACTCTTGGCGGAATCCCTGCATCATGTCACCCCAGAAAAACTGTATGAAACCCCCTGTTCCCAGGAGCCTCCCGACACATCTGTCCCATAGTCCAGGGCCGATGGCGGAGACTCCAGGAAAACAAAAATGAACCCTCTGCCTTCTGCTCACTGATTTGGCTTAAGTTACCCAGGGTGAACAAATCAACAAGAAGCTGAGGAGCTGGCCCTGATACCCCAACTCACGAAAACAAAACAGAAAACAAAACCGGGGTCTACTGCTGGGATGCAGCCTGCAGCTCCTCTGGGACCCCCGACTCGGAGATCCAGGGCGAGGGGCCACAGTCCACCCTGGTGCTCAGTGGGGAACGGGAGCTGACCAACCCATCGTGTTCTCCCATCCTTGGGCCCGTGGTCAACAACAGCTCCCTGTGTTCTGTGCTGATGGCATGAGGGTGTCCTCCCGCAGGACTCCATCACCATACAGAGCCCCCAAGAACGTGGTCCCTTCAGTGCCCGGCATGTGCCCCAGGCTCGCACACAGGCAGGGGCCTACAGAGCCTTGGTGGGGCAGGGCCTTACCCGCCCGTCATGCGTGAGCAGGATGGAGTCACTCTTGATGTCGCGGTGGATGACCCCCTGCGCGTGTAGCACTGACAGGGCCTGCAGCACAGCCAAGCACACGGCGGCGATCTGCTCCTCGTTCATCCTGCAGGGGGGAGCGGGGAGGGTGGGGCTGTAGTCGGAGGAGCCCCAGGTGTGGGAGGGGTCGGGCGCCACCCCATGCAATCCCGGGAGGGGCGCCATCGATGGGCCGCACCTGGTGTGGGTGACGATGTCCGTGAGGGCACCCCCCTCCAGGAACTCCATCACCACCCAGAGCTCGTCGCCCACCAGGTAGCTGTTGTACATCTCCACCACGTTCTCGTGCTGGTAGTCCCGCATGATCACCACCTGTGGGACACAGCTCAGCCTCTGCCAGCCACGGGGAACCCCCCACCCCCCATCGCAGCCAAGCCTGATGGGTGGGGAAGGACCAAAGATGGACAGGTGACCCAGGGAGGCCTGGGAGGGGGTGGGGGGTGCTCCCCAGGATGGAGAGGCAGCATCCTTTGTGGAACACTGCGGGCAGCTGTGTTGAGGACCACAGCTGGGGGGTGGGGGAGCAGTGAGTGCCCCCTGCGGACCTGCTGAGCTCAGCCGCACAAAGACCCACAGTGCAGGAGTCAGAAGTGGGGCTGGCCTGCTGGGTGTAAAGACCCTCTGGTCAGTCCGCGGGGGTCTCCCAAACCCAGGAACAGGACAGGGCCCTGCAAAAGACAATGGCGCTTCCTAGAGCAGGAAGGAGTCGCAGGCTGGGGTGCTGAGAGGGGCGCAACAGATTCTGGGGGCGGCGATGGAGGTTCCGAGAAGGAAACCGGGCCAGGGGCCACAAGACGTAGTGATCTGGAGGTGCAAGGGTCTGTCGGGGGATGCAGTGATGACTTGGGGTGCAGTGAGGCGCACCTCGTTGAAGAGCAGCTCCCGCCGCTGCTGCTTGCGCAGGTCCATCTTCTTGACGGCCACCAGGCGGCCGGAGCTGCGCACGGTGGCGATGCACACGATGCCCGTGGAGCCCTCCCCGATCTTGATGAAGTTGTCCAGGTAGGAGCGGGGGTCCCCAGGGTCCACCACCAGCTGCAGGGCGGCCCGGAACTGCTCATGGGACACTCTCTGGGGCTCCCGCTGCGGGGAGCGGGGGCCTGGGGGGCCCGAGGGGCCGGGGGCTGGTGGGCCAGCTGCAGGAGAGAGGGTGCGGGCGGTGGGGGCCAGCTGGGGCTCAGAGGCGTGGGGGCCCAGCACGCCAGGGCTGGGAGGGCCGTGGGCTCGGTTGGGAGGCCGGGAGGAGGAAGACTGGGGGACAGCCAGGCTCCCTGGGGAAGGCCCGTTGGGGGTCGTGTGGTGAGGCTCCCCCTGAAACAGAGAGAGAGACACTGTGAGCAGAGGCTGGGACCAGCGCTGTGATCGGGACGGGACAGACACAGGTGGGGGAGATGAAGTCGATGGACACAGGGGTGTGGGGGGGAGCACGGGGCTGGGGGCCTCCTGAGGTGGGGCACAATTACCTGGGTGCCCCGGGATGGGTGGTCCGTATCGGCCCGCGGGTAAGTGTTAAAGGGTCGGCCAGCTGCCGCCTTTGTGCCACTGGCCAGACCAGCAGGCTGGGGGGCACTGACGTCAGGCCCAGAGAGGGGGCGTTTGTCCCGGGAGGACTCCTGGGGGCCCCCTGCGCCCTCCCGGGAAGGCTTGGTCCTCTTCTCGTGCCCTGCTCGCCGCCGGTCCCCGCTGCCGCCACCCCCATCACTGCGTCCAGGGACCCGGCCATGGCCGCCCCTCTCTGGGCCCACTCTGGCCACGGCGTGGGGCTCCGCAGGCACCCCATTCTCCTGGCGTGCATGGGCAGGTGGTGGGGGACTGTCTCTCCGCAGGGAGTTGGAGCGTGTCACCGACATTTGGTCGAACTCGCCGAGCAGCAGCGTGAGGGCCCCATCCTTGGCGCCTTTGCTGCCTCGCACGATGGTCTGTGTCGGCCATGGCGGGGCGGGGGCCGGACGGGGAGGAGGGACACAGGATGCAGGTCCAACACACCACGACGAGATGTCACAGCACACCACGACACACACAGAGACAAGACAGACGAATGGAGAAATGCCACAGGTGACGATACGGCTCGGGGTGCCCCCAAGGCCATGGCCCTCGAATCCTCCTCACAGTGGGGCAGGCAAGAGGAGGCAGAGGCCGGGGCACTGCTGGGCACAGGCACCCCACGAGTGGCCAGCTGCTCCGCTCACACTCCATGGACGGCCGAGCCCCCTGGAGTGGCAGAAAGGGAGGAGGAGCGGGTGGCCCGGGGCCTTGCCCTCCCCTCCCCCCCACAGCCACCTGGACCCAGCGCAGGTGCCTCTGCCCTGGGAAGAGTCAGCACCCCAGGGATCCTACCACCCAGGTGGGCCCTCTCGCTGGGGAGCTTCAAAAGGCCCCCACCTGGGTCCCTGCCTAGCTCAACGCCACCCCTGGCAGTGCCAGCCCCTAGCACCGCCATCCTTTTCCCCACAGCACCTGAAACCAGCTGCCTTAGCTGAACCCTCCAAGGCTCCCTCCTGCTCTTGCCGCCCACCTGGCACAGGCCTGGTGCCCAGCAGGGGTTGCTCCTCCCCCACCCCCGAAGGTGCATCGCAGGTGCAGCAAATGGGGCCCCGGCACCCAGAGTAGGCGCTGCCCCACCTGCCTCTCCTGGGCCCTGGCAGCTGGAAGGGCACTGGGAAGATACCTCAGTCTCAAGCAACAAATGCAGCGATGAACCCTTGCACCCAGCACAGTGCAAGCTGGGGAGGGGGCATCTGAGTGCATGTGCAGGTCAGGGGCCCCTCCTCCCGGGGGACCCAGGCCTGGAAAGGCTCACGGCTGGCAGGCCCCCTGGTGCCGAACCCGCTGCCCGGCATGCCTATCCCCGCCTCCTGGTGCAGGCCCAGAGTTGCCCATCCAGGCCCAGCTCAAACCCCAGCCCTGCTGCTCCGTTCACACGCCAGGAACTCCCCAGCCACAGTCCAACTCGGGGCCTGGCATCCAAAGCGCCCCCTCTGGCCCTGCCCAGCGCCCACCCTCATTAGACTGGGGCGGGAGGGGGAGGGCTGTAGGGCTCTACCTTGGGGGCCCCGGGCCGGATGGAGGTGATGCAGGCGGGGTCGACGAGGGGCTTGGGCCTGCGCGCCGACTCCTCGATGAGGCTCTGCCACTGGCGGGGCAGCCCCGTGAACTTCTGCTCATGCTGGTCGAAGCCCGTGTGCACGCGGTGCTCGAAGTTGGACGGCGCCGAGATCTCCACTCGCTTCTTCTTCTTCCCGAACATGGCGGCGGCCTCGCGGGTGCCTGCGCTCTCAGTGGGGACGGGCTCCAGGACCCATTTCTTCCTGCTGCCCTCCCGACGGCTGCAGGGACGCCATGAACACCTGAGTCAGTTGCCCCACTCCTGGCTCGGGGTCTCCTGGGGTCCCGCTGCCCCTCGCCCCTCAGGCCTTTGTGTGGCTCCAGGCCTCAGAGCCCTGGGTCACCCCTTCCCTCAGCACCCCAGGTCACACCAGGGTCGCCCACCAAGCTTGCTGTGCACTGGGTGTACACACCCCCAAACCAGGCATCAGGGGCTGGTGTTAGAGGGTCCCCAAGCCCAGCCCTCACTTCCAGCCTGGCAGTGGGTGCAGGCACAGACCTATGTGCAGGCTGTGTGGGGCCAGAGAAGAGAACCCACGGCCACTCCGCAGGGGCGGCTGAGGAGCCCCCCGCCGTTCTCTCTGCCCTTCCTCAGTGACGTCCCCTCTCTGCGAGCCTGCAGACCCCCGAGGGCCGCTGGAAGGTGTAGGAAGTCCCCTGGGGCACAGCGAGGGCCCACACACCTGTGTGGATGCTGGCGGTGCTAGCAGGGCCCGTGAGCAGGCGGCGTCTCCTCAAGGAGCTTCGAGTTCCTCATCTGGGAGAGGAAGAGAGGTGATTTGTCACCCGCCTGCCACCGGACCATCACCTGCAGACACTCCCTCCTCCCAGCCCTGTGTGTGCCCTCTCTGCCCGGCGGCTGGGGACACCAGATATACTTCACGGTGGAGACAGGAAGTAGCCACCCAGGGAATAACTCAATCCTGAGTGCCTGGCTGTGATGCTGACCTCTGACCCTCTAGGGATGTCCTCCCCAGTGGGTAGAGAGGGAGGCAGCAGAGCACCAAGGATGCAGGCCGGCCAAGGGGAGCAGGTCAACTGAGCCGGTCGGCTCCCCCAGGCCTGTGCTCTCGGGGAGGAGCCAGGGACAGGCCTTCCTGGGGAACCGGTTTGGCGGCAGGAGCCCAGTGGGAGGCTGTGGGGGGACCCAGCAGCCAACCTGTCTCAACGGGTCCAGGCCGCAGGGGACCAGAGCCAGGTCTGCCCATGGCCAGGACTCCCCCAGCTCAGTCTGGCTTCCTGACCTGCTTGGGGGAGGGGCAGGGAGTCGGGGAGATGCCACCTCACCCTCATGCCTCTCTTCTTCAATCCCCTAACAGGGTCCAGCACCAGCCCACCCCCAATACTCAAGTCCCCACCACCTGCTATCACCTCCCAGCCTCCCAGGTGACCCCCTAGGCTCCCACCCCCACCCCCACCAGCCCAGGGGGCACCATCAACACCTCCACTAACAGGAGGAGCCACTTGTCCCCTTAGTAAAGCCAGGAAGTGGGGGGCTCAGGTCAGGCCAGGGAGCAGGGGTGGCCAAGGTGGGGGAGGAGAGCCCGGATATCTGCTGGCCCGGCCCCACTTCCCCTGGGCAGGGCACGCGGGCAGGACAAATGGAGGAACTGAGCGTGTTTATAGCAGCGCACCCCGCCCTGGGCAGCTCCTGCTCTGCAACCTGGGGGGTGCCAGGGGGCGGGGAGAGAAGCTGCTCTATGAAGAAAGGGACTGGCAGGGCCCGGGGAGAAGGAGGGTGTGGGGACCCCTTACGAGCCGGGAACTGGGGGAATCCAGGCCTGCGGCCAGGCACTGCAGTGCCTCCCGTGCTGGTGAGAGGGAAGGCTTGTGTGTGTGTGTGTGTGTGCGCGCGCGCGCGCGCGTTTGTGTGTGTGTGGTGGGGGAGGCTGTCAGGCGGGAGACTGGACCCCGCTTCCCCTCTGCTAAAGCAGGTGAGGCTGGCATGGCTGCTCCTGGGATCAGAGCAGGGGTCCCGGAGAACTGAACTCGTAGGGAGGGAGGGAACCCAGGAAGTACAGACACGTGGGGCACAGGAGAACACAGCTGTGGCACCCATTCGGGACTCACCCTAAGGCTCCCGAACCCTGGCAACCCACCCCAGCTGAGGGGGCACCCACCAGATCCCCCTGCTTGGCAGCTATGCATCGGAGACAGGGGGTAGGGTTTGAGGCCCTTGTCTTGCATAAGGTCAACATCATAAAAGTCGCCTGGAGCAGTCATCCCCTGAGCACTGGCAGCCAGGAGCAGCCCCGGGGCACAGCCAGTGTGTACCCCAAGCTCCCAAATACCCCAAACAACAGACACAGGCCCTGAATGGTGCTGTGCTGAGTCCCTCCCAGCAGCCCGAGCAGAGACGCTTCACTGGAGGTAGGGGGTGGACTGGGACGCAGGGTGGATGGTCCTTCGGACCCACATCTCCATCCCTTGGGGGAAGGAGCCCCACAGTCTGGCCGGCCCAGGGTGGCAGGACAGTGGCGAGGGCCTGCCTCAGTCTCACATGCAGATGCGGAAACTGAGGCTCCTGCAGGAAGCCCTTCCACAGTTCTCCCTCACATGCCCCCCTGGAAGGAGCCCCAGGCCTTGCCCTGGGTTCTGGGGGCCTCCTTCCTGCCTCAGTTTATCTCTACCCACCCCCAGGCTGTGCAGGTGATGGAGGGGAAGGGGAGACTATGAGCCTGGAGGGAGGGCATGGGAAAGGCCAGGGTGATGCCCATGGCACGAACAGGCAACCATGTCCACAGACCACGGAGGCTTGGTCCCACACAGGCCCTTGTCAGCAGGCAGCCGGGAGGACCCTGAAGAGGAGACGAAGGTGACCCCAGAACTGCCCCCCGCACCCAGCTCCCAAGCTCCTCTTTCATAGGCACATCAAAGAGGCAGACTGGTGAGGACAGGTGGGTCTCCTTGTGGGGACTCTGAGGGAAACAGTCTCAGGAAAGTTCTAGACAAGGAAGGGATGGGCTCTGGCCAACCCTACAGCTGGAGCAGGCAGAAGCAGGTTTAGGGTACGGCGGGGGGGAGGGGGGTGTGTCCTGGCCAGATCTCAAGGCCTTGTGTGGCGGAGAGCCATGCCCACCTGTCCACCTGATGCCCAGAAGTTTGGGGGTGCTGGGTGGCAAAGTCCTCTTCCTTCCTGTGGCCCAGACCAGGAAACCGAGGCCCAGAGAGGATGGCACTTTCCAGGACCCATGGAGGGCAACAATGTACCCACGTGACCCAGGGTCTGTCTGCACCCCTCAGCCCCGTGTACCCCAATGCAAGCCAAGGCATTAGTCCCCAAAGCACCACCCTCTGATGGGACAGAGCATGCCACTGCAGACTGCTGGGTGATGGGGCCTGGGAACACCCCAGCGTTCAGACCACACTCACACACACCACATTCACATACACACACACTAACCATTCACCCCACACACCCACTCTAACCACACACACACACAAACCACTCACACACACATGCACACTCAAACCACTCACACACACCCACTCAAACCACTCACAAACTATAACCATTCACCCCACACACCCACTCAAACCACTCACACACACACACATTCAGAATGCACTCACACACATATACACACTCAAACCACTCACACACACACCCACTCAAACCACTCACACACAAACTAACCATTCACACCCACACACCCACTCACACCCCCCCACTTAAACCGCACTCACACACACACCCACTCAAACCACTCACACATACACTCAAACCACTCACAACAACACACTCAGATCACACATATACGCTTATAGACCACACTCACACACACACACTCTAACCACTCACACCCACTCACACCCCTAGTCAGACCGCACTCACACACACTCAAACCACTCTCTCTCTCTCACACACACACACACACTCACAAACCACTCACACACACACATCCCCACTCACACATACCCCCACTCAGACCGCACTCACATACACTCAAACCTCTCTCTCTCACACACACACACACACCCCCACTCAAACCACTCACACACAAACTCTAACCATTCACACCCACACACCCACTCACACCCCCCCACTTAGACCGCTCTCACACACACACCCACTCAAACCACTCACACAACACTCAGATCACACATATACGCTTATAGACCACACTCACACACACACACTCTAACCACTCACACCCACTCACACACATCCCCACTCACACATACCCCCACTCAGACCGCACTCACACACACTCAAACCACTCTCTCTCACACACACACACTCAAACCACTCACACACACACACACACACACACTCAGATCATACACATACACTTACACACCACACTCACACACCCAGACCGTACACATATACACTCTTGTACACATTCACACACCCACACTCAGATCACACACACACACAGACCACAGTCACTCACTCTCGCATGAAAACATACACTCACGTGTACACGGAGCTGGGACACTGGGACAGGGCCCAGGAAAAGGCTCCGAGAGATGAGGGCACAAAGTGGGGGGCACTAACCCAGTCAGCCACACCCCCAGGAAACTGCAGGTGGCTCCACAGCACCCAGAGCCTGGGCAGGCTCCTGAGCCCTGGGGCAGGGGGTGGTCCGGGGGTCTGCAGCTGGGGTGGAAGAAGCTGCCACTGTAAAGACGCCCAGATGCAGGGACTTCTGAGACCCTCGCATACACTCCAGAGACACTGGGCACAGCATCACCAGTATGTCACACAGACAGAGACGCCCCCAAAGCCGGGACGCAGACACAGGTACCCCCTGGCCAGTCAGCACCCCCACCCCCGCAAACGGTCCTCCTGCACACCAGCCCCGGGCACCCTGGTATGGAGGGACGCCAGGGCCTTGTGCGGGGACAGGTGGCGGCCAACGACACCTGCCTCCAGTCCAGACCCGCCCTGCCCTCCCTGCCACCCACACTCGCTGTGCTCGGGGCCACCCCCCATCCCCACCTGCCGCTCACCTCCACCATTCTCCACAGGGGGGCGGGGGGCAGCCAGTGGGCGCCGGGGGCTCCCTTGGTGAGGCAGGCGTCTGAGCTCCGCGCCCCGACGCCCTGGCAGCCCCTGGCAGTGGGCGGTGCCAGCCAGCCCTGCCCTGGCAAGACCATGGCTCCAGCCCAGAGGGCGGGCAGGCGGGATGGAGGAGGCGGGGCTCGGTGCTGTGAGGAGGGGCCAGGAAGGGACACCTCACACAGCCCCTCTCAGGCTGGCTCAGGCCCTGCTCCTGCAGCAGAGGTGGGGGAGTGGGGAAAAGGGGGCCAGCAGGGATAGCTGCAGGGAACCCTGTGACCCTCTTCCCCACCAACACCCACTGATATGACAGGGGGAGGGGAGAGGGGAGCCTCACTACACTGCCAGGACGGGCCTGACCTCACCTGGGGGGCCTTCGCCATGGAGGAAACTGAGGCCTGAGGCACCCAGCGGGGAGGGCAGGAGTCCAGCACCAGACAGACCCCTTGTCCTGGCTTGGAGCCCTCCCTTCCCCCACCCTACTCAGGGGCAATCTCTCCAGCCCCTTCCTGTGAGCTCCAGAGGGCCTGTGGGTGGGAGGCAGCACCCATGGGGGTCCAGTAAGCAGGGAGGCTTCTCGGGGCTGCTCCCACCATGGCCATCGCCCACCCCAACTTCCTCCTCCCGGGAGGGACAGGGAGGATGCACGGACTATCTCACACCTGCTGGCCAGGCCAGGGTTTCCCCAAAGGGACCCCTGAAGTCCTGGGCGCCAGCACCCCTCCCCCCCGGGGTGGAGCACCTGTTGGGCA